GGTTCCTTTTCTCTCTCCGTCAAACATAGAATTTTGCCTGACGATTGTATCTCACATGCTGCACACACGCACACCGCTTGGGCCGCTACAATCTCTTTACTTTATAGCGGAGGTGTTGTCAAGGCGGTAGAGGGCCTTGATTTAGATGCTACTATCGCCTCTAAGCCAACAGCTACGATGGGGAAGTAGTTCATGCAAATCAAAAACCGACTGTTCAGTTTGATTCTGTTTTGCAGATTTGAAGCAGCTAACGCGCCTGCAGTTGCACCGATCAGGCAGCAAGAATACTTCAGTCTGGAGGGCGAAAACAATCTGGCGTTGTGTTTGGATTGTCACTGGTTTCAAGTCTAAAATACAGAAGGGCAAAATGGTGTCTCCTTTTTAAACAGGCAGGATGTCGGCGATAAAGATAACTTCCAGTGAAAATATTGCCCGCAATCCAGAAGAAACCTCCTGCTTGACGACGGATGGCAAGTACAGGACGGATAGAAGAAGGAGCAAAGAAAAGTTGGGAACTCAGTGAAATTTCGCAAAAAGCACACAACTCTCATGAAAACAGACGCTGTATGGTTAGAAGGCAAGCCAGATACTCGGTATCTTAAGGCAAAGAAGTAATTAAGCGGTAACTCTGCTATCCAGATGTTGAGATCTGTTTCTCAAAAAAACGGCTTTCGAACCAGCCGAAGTGACACAAACGCAATTGTTCTTACGAATTAACGGGCGATATACCACGTGCCCCACGTAAGAAAAGCAGTAAGCAAAGCTGGTTGGTGAATGAAACTGATATCCAAAACGTCAAATGACCGGACAGTGGAGCATGCCAAGGAAGCGGGAGTTGTCCTGCACAGTTGTGTCCGTCACGTTAAAACAAGCAGTATGGTAAAAGTAGACGTGACGAGATTGCCAAAGGCGAATTAGCCTGGTACCTCGGCACAGAAGGAGGTTGGTGGTTACGCAAATCCTCCATGTGATTGAAGGCATGCGATAAAGCAGAATGTAAAAACGCTTACTGTGCGCAGATACCCTGTTGGCATTTGACAGACCCCACGACGTAGCATACGCGAGACCCTTCAGACTTGGTAGTTTGAGCACTACCATGATAGTAGCAAGTACTTGCAGGCAGTACACTGCTAGTCTCCGGCAAGAGCATAAGTATGCTTGAGGAACACTTCTTCTTCGCCGCTCAGTGACAGTCAGCTCTCATTTGTGACTCCACGAAACCGTGCTTAGCGCGGTAGCCGTCCTTGAATGGCTGGCTGAAACAAATGGGGGTGACTGGCATGAATGTATCTTCACACCCGGTAGTCTGCAAACCAATCCCCATCCTTCCACTCCACAGTCAAGCAAGCATTTCTTAAGGAGAGAGCCAAATGCAGTCCGTAGGTGGGTCGGAATAATTTCGGTAGTCCTCTCATTGTAAAAAAAATTGTGACCCCCAGTAGAGTTCGGCAGCCGCGTGTGAGGTATGCAATCGCGGACTGTTTACTGTTGCCAGTCACCGATCTTCCGTCTCCTTTGGTCGTACTGGCTTTGTCTTGCCGCCGGAGCTTGGCAGTTGTTGAAAGGGCGGGGTAGATATATGCTTCGTGGGTCTGTTTTACTGTAACTAAATTTCGACAGGGCCTCCCTCGCGAGACAGCGATAAGCGCCATCGGTTACAGTGGTTGGTCTGTCGTATGCTTGTGTGTCTACCCCCAAAACGGCCCACGCGGTAGATGAGCTGGGTCAACACTGCAGGCGTTATTTGGGATGCGCACCCATATCAAATGACAAGCGTGGGGTGTGGTGGCAGACCCCTAGGCGCAGTCCCACGCCGTGCCAGCCACCTGCGCCCGATCCTGCATCCGGTCTTCTTGACCCTATCGTGACACCAAGCTCAGGTGGGTGAGGGAGGGCAGAGTACACTAGATGCAACGCAAGTCTACTATCTTTATTAATGAATTCATGTGCTGGTCACCACCCCCGTGCCCACCCTGCTGTGAGCATACGGTAGCCATCGTCGGAATCGATGGTCGAACCGTCATGTGTCACTGCGTGTTAGGATTGTTTGGTAGGTGTGGTAGGTTGCACCACGCAAATGGTGGCCGCTCCTTGCAGTCCTTAACTGCCCCCCAACTCCCATTTCCGGCTCTCTGAAGCAAGGCTCTGCCAAGCGGCCACACCCTAGTAATCGCCTCGACCGGTGAGCTGAATTAAATGGGGGTATCAGGTGTTGTGTGTGCCCCACACCTGGCAGTACTGCTCCACTTCCCATCTCTAATGCTCCCCACTCTCCACTTTCAAAATGTCATATGAAGAGGGCCACATGTAATCACCTGGTCGACCCAGACTGACTAGGACTGCTCCTCCACTAAATCAAGACGTGACCTATAGTGGAGTTCGGCAGTCGTGTGGACTGTCTAGGCAGCCCTTCTTAGAGGCAGCACTGCCTATCCCCTCGCTGTGTAAGGGATTATAAAACGTGCCCAAGACAACTGGTGAGAGCACGTGGCCCCTAGATGTCTAAATCGCGCACGAAACAATCAAACAAGCAACAATTATCATCCCCATTCCCTCCACCGCACCCCACAGGGTGTGAAGGTGAGTTTGCTCACTCTGGCAACCTGAAGTATTCGTCTTCATCTAGGCATTCCGAGGAGCAGCCGACCGAAAAAGGAGGACGGCGCTAGTCGCCCAAGAAGTGGAGTGCCACAAACTGAACATCTCTGCCCTCAGTTAGTTTCGCTTCTCAGAAAAAGGTCAATTGGAGGAGGTGGGCGTCAACTACATCTTCTGGAGGGCCCACCAAAAGACAGAGCGATGCGACCTTGGCGTCGCTTTTGCCATCCGGGACGACATTATAGAACGACTGCTCTGTCTGCCACAGATCATCAGTGTGCGCCTCATGGCCCCACGCCTGGCTCTTCGGCGAGCAAATTTCGACATCATCGTCAGCGCCTACGCTTCCACAATGGCGAAACCCGACGAGGTGCGGAGCAAGTTCTACGAAGGTTGAACTAACCACCGTTTCACCATCTCCAAGATGAAGACCCGACTGCAAGTTAGCAGGGGACCATGGAGTACGTGACCACCAGGTAAGCTGAATACCGTTCTGTTGATTTTGCCTGCTCACAGCTTCAAATTCAGCAATAGAATGACAGCGACTGGAAGACCACCAGACTTCAGTTGATAACGCCACTGTGGATAAACGCTGGCGCCAACTGCGGGACAGAACCCATTCCGCCGCCCCGATATCCTTGGCCGCGCACGTCGTCAAGACGAGGACTGGTTTGACGACTACGACGCAGATATCAGCAACATACTCACCGAGAATAACAGACTGTACAAATCCTACATCAACCGCCGTGCCGATGCAAACAAGGTGGCCTTCTTCAGAGGTCATCGCCTGGCTTAGTAACGGCTGTGGGAGATGTAGAACGGTTGGATGAATCGCAATGCCGGAAAATACGAGAATACGCGGACCGCATTTCTTCGCCTTCATCGTGGCAATCTACGATCTCCTCGCCACAAGAACTGTTGCGGTTAAACGGTGGTGTAGTATAAGTTGTGCGCTACAATCATCACACCAAACCCCATGTTGGAGGAAAAGACAGAAGAAACCAGAGACAGTGGTGGCGACCACTTTTAGGCTCGTAGGCCAACGCAAGTGGTCCCCAATCGGTACGTGCTCCATTTGCCAAACGATTGTGTCCCATTGGCTTAGGTTGTGGTTGGAGGGGTAAGGGGGTGCGTTCGGGTTAACGCAGGTGTGTCCGAGCTGAAGTCGGTCTAGTGGCTTCGGGTCAGCGTGTCCGGAACGGCTCGCTGCAAGGGGTGAATGACCTTGAGACAACGAGGCCTTAGACAATGACGCCAGACTGCCAGAACGCACGCAGATTACTCAGCAGGGTTTGGTAGAACTCATGAGTTAGCATAGATTTCCGATCTAATTATATGGTTTTGCCAAGAGAAGCGAAGAGACGAGTCCCAGGAAGTAGTCTTGACGAAGGAGACACGATCGCCGGGACAAGAGCTTTATTAGCCTGACGTTTCGGATTCCTGCTCGAATCCATCATCAGAGACAAAAAAGCAGAAACGGGTGGTTGTTGCACAAGGGGCTGCAGTATTTATAGGATGCAGTAACCATGCTACCGCATACCTATGAACATTCACGGCTCCCCCCTTCATCCGGGATCGTCGCACTTGGTGTGATCATTGCTTGATGGCCGACATTCGAGTCGATAATTGCTGCAATTTCATCACGTGCGTTGGATGTTGGCGTGATGATTGCTCGACCATCTGACGCATCGACCCCGGTGTTGGGAAAAGTGTTCACCTCTGCGCTCCCCGCATGGCTTGTTACCCCGCCTAGGCGAAGTTTCAGTACGGGGTATGGAATGGGAAGATCGTTGCACTTGTTGATGGACTGGGGGCCAGTAAACCATGATTCCAGTAGCTCCCGGCTCACTCGGTTGTCACCTCTTGTGAGAATTTCGGCCTCATCGAATTTGAATGTGTGGCCGGATCTCGTCGAATGAGCCGCAACTTGAGAGCTGGCGTCATTTCTGCGCACCGCTGCCGCGTGTTCGGCCATTCTCGTTCGGAGCTGTCTTCCGGTTTCTCCGACGTAGTTGCTTTGTCCGCAACTGCGCCAGATCCGATAAACGACTCCAGACGTTTCTAGCCGTGGCAGTGGGTTTTTCGGTTTCATGATCAGACGCCTGATGGTTGCCTCCGGTCTGTGTGCCACTCCAACCCCAAGTGGTGCGAGAAGGCGGCCGACAGCTTCCGAAACGCTCTTGACATACGGAAGTGCCCGCCAAGATTTGGTGTCCGTGCGGTTAGGCCTTTCGTCCCTTTTGCGTATGCACCGGTCGACGAAGTTGCGCGGGTAGCCATTGGCTTTGAAGACCCGTCGGAGGTATTGTAGTTCGGCAATGTTTTCTTCCGGCTCATTCCAGTGCGTTTCGACACGCCGATAGAGCGTCCTTACACAACTGCGTTTGTGGCTGATTGGGTGGTTACTGTTGAAGTTCAGTACTTGCGTCGTATTTGTCGCTTTCCTGAACCCTTTTGTTTTTTAGTTCACCACAATCTTTACGGCATACAAGGACATCCAGGAAGGCCAGCTGGTTGTTCTCTTCCTCCATCGTCAATTGAATGTCCGGGAAGACGGCGTTGAGATGTTCGTGGAATGTCAACACCTGATCCCGTTCGATGATGACGAAAGTATCATCCACATACCGGGCCCAGAATTTCGGTCTGTGGTGTTGGAAGACCAGCGAATCTAACCGTTGCAGGACCGCCTCAGCGATGAATCCCGAAATCGGCGAACCCATTGGTGTGTCCTTCACCTCTTCGTAGATTGTCCCGTCGAACGTGAAGTACGTCCTGAGACAGAGCTTCAGGAGATGAAGGATTTGGGCGTGTCCAGGACGGTTCTCCGTTTCATCGTATTTGCTTTGTAGTAGCAGCTCAATCGTCTCGATCGCCAGGTCCTGGGGAATAGAAGTAAAAAGGGATGTAACGTCAAAAGATACCATGACCTCATTTGGATGGATGCTTACCCCTTTGAGTTTCTCCAGGAATTGTGTTGACGAAGAGACCGTGGTGTCTGGCTCAGCGGTCAGGAACTTGAGACGCCGGAACAGCCACTTAGCCAGTCCGTACGTTGGAGTCCCTTTGAGCGACACGATGGGTCGGAGAGGAGCGCCGTCTTTGTGCATCTTAGAGAGGCCATAGAATCGGTCCAAAGCCGTATCTTTTATGTCCCGAGTGCTTAGCTCGAAGTTCCTCATTACAGTCGGTGGTTACTTAATTTCCGTTATTTGTAAAACGTTATAAGCTGGACGGACCTAACGTAGATAATAATGTTCTCACGAACCAACGAACGATACCCTACGAACCCTACGTAAGAAGATCAGTCAGGAAGACCGGTAGATGAATAAAGTTAATACTCAGAGGGTCTAAAGTGATGAGATTGTTAAAGTCCGGTACCTCGGCACAGACTGACCTAGCCTTCGGAAAAAGAGTTTTCGGTAAGTGTTCCCAGTCAGAAAACGAAAGCGACTAAAATGACTACTTTCAACTATTTTTCCATTGCCATCCAAGGTTCAAACTGAGATCAACAGATAATTGCGACTCTGGAGTGAATAGAAGTCATTGATTTTTCACTTGGACGGAAACCCGTGCACTGGCGGTCATCATCGTAACTGCGATTGAGGTGACGACAATTATCAATCCAGCCCTCTCTCAGGTAAGACCATGTAATAGTAAGGACAATATCGAGCAAACTGTTCCGTGAAAGGTTTCACCTATATCGCCATACGAACCAGTTTTTTCCAGCTAGACTCGGGATTTGGCATCCGTTATCGCCTGGCCGGCTAGCGTGTGCGTGGGTACACCGGGCTGTATCTCTCATCATTTTAAGGCGACACGATTGCTTAGGCGGCAGAGGGTATTTGAAGTCTCAGATTACACGCGCGACATTGAGTTTCAGCAAATCAAGGACTTACAATGTTCACTTCTTGCCAACCGCGACTTATTTCAGTTGATCATTAGAGTCAGGACTTTGGTCAACGGCTCAACCTGTGGATAAGGGCAGCGAAGACGAGCATAACGGCTGCAACTAGTGTTGTTATCATTATTGCCATTATCATGGAGGTGATGATGCTGCTGCTGCTGCTGCTGCTGCTGCTGATGATGATGATGATGACGATGATGATGATGATGATGATGATGATGATGATGATGATGATGATGATGATGATGATGATGATGATGATGATGATGATGATGATGATGATGATGATGATGATGATGATGATGATGATGATGATGATGATGATGATGATGATGATGATGATGACTGTTATGTCCCGGAGGGATGGTTGAACAGAAAGAGAACAGGTTCGGAGAACGAGCACTTTATTGGCAACTTGCGAACAGGAGGGGTTCCAACTCGTCAGAGAGATGCGCTGTTTATGTTGGTCCCTATGCGTTCTGGAACACTCCGCCCAATGGCGTGCCAGCCGTTGGGGGCGTTCTTGAACGTTCCTGCCCGGGGGACGCTGGTCGCTAATTGGCCCCCGCTTGAGCAATAGTCCCCCGTGGAAACGTCAGGAATGTTCGACCAGCCATTGATTCGGTGACCAGAATCAGGAGGAAAACCATCTGTCAGATCCACCAAGTCTGGGATTAAATTCAAGGTCAGATTGGGGAGAAGCCCCAGTCGGACCATGCGAGCGATCACCAAGGTCTTTTAGGTTAACTGCATAGGGTCTGACACGTCATATAGGCGAAGGTTTTGACCTGGTCTTTAGCCCAAATTTGGCGGCTCCTACTTGCCGATTGTTTCTGGCGTCTATGACTGAGAAAACTGTTCCAACAGTACTCTTCATGAAAGAGAAGTATTAAACTGCCGACCAGGTCAGTGCCAGCAGGATTGGCAGGTATGGTTCCAAATTTGGGACATGCACATCGCACCAGCAAGGCCAGACACACATCCCACCCATGTAGGCTTATTATCGTGGCTTCTGACGACCTCAATATGCAACCGGCGTTTCAGAGGAAGGTGTAGTAGGCAGAACGGAGGAGTACCTGGATCTGATCTTGTAGTTCCAAGATCCCCCAGAGTTCAGCCTGCATTCCGAACTGGTCGAGGGAAAAAGACATGTCGCACAGCCAATACGAGCAGAAACTGGTTATCAGAGAACTTGAACATCTATTAGAAAGAGCTTTACCCGACACAGGGTGACGTCAGCCCCCATGACTCACAGACCAAGCTAAATATTCCCAAAGGTCCGACGCGATGAAATAAAGGAATTCAAGATCGACAAGGACCACGTTATCGTACTCACAGAAAGGGGTGTTCCGTTGTCGCATTGGACGGGATCAGAGTACCTTCGGAGGGTCAAGAACTATTTAGCAGATCTCCAGGTCCACATCATATTCAAATCCCGTAAAAAAACGATGACACGCGAAATTAATGTAACGCTTTTAACTAGCAGGAATATCGGAGCATGATGGGAGCCCAGAAAACGGCGTTGGCTGGATTCCATAACCTTTCATGGCTGAAGAAAGAGAATGATGTCCGGCTCTTCTGATCACGCAAAGGTATTCCAACTGGCAAGGTGGTTGTTTCAGCGTCTGGGCATTCAGGAAATAAGAGGGATCAAACCAGGCTAATCATCATACCTTATCCGTCCTAGGACAGTCGCCTTTTGTTGTACTGACTTGATGTGCAACCCCATCACCTAGCACCACGACCACGCCGCCGGTCGCCTGGACAACATATGAGTACATAAAAAGAGGTAAATAGTCCAATTTCAGCCGTCTGGCTAAGGAAAGCAGGCGAGTGGTTAAAATAAGAGCCGCGGGTAGTACTGGGTACAGTGCCAACGCCAATATCCTCTTAGGAGGCTGAGAATTGATCGCGGTATTACAGGCAGCAGATACCTAAATAATGGCAAATCAACTGACCAGACTGATAGATAAGCTTACCTGCAGATACGTGCGCACACCTATTCTGAACTAAACAATTATACACCTCGTCGCATTATCAGGTCAGCGCGTCAGATGGCCGAGCAATCATCACACATCATTTCATCAACGCACGTGATGATATTGCAGCAATTAACGACGCGAATGTCGGCCATCACACCACGTGCAACGATCCCTGCTGAAGGGGGGAGCCGTGAATATTCATAGGTATGCGGTAGCATGGCTACTGCATCCTCTAAATACTGCAGCCCCTTATGCATGAACCACCCGTATCTGCTTTGTCTCTGGTGATGGGTTCGAGCAGGAATCCGAAACGTCAGGCTAATAATGCTCTTGCCCTAGCGATCGTGTCTCCTTCTTCAACATTATCAGGTCTGCCCAAAATTCACTAATGATCTGCAGTAATACCCCTAGATTCTCGAGAGTTACATTCTAAGACTCCCACGTACATGTACGTCTACTGTCCGCCACCTTGTTCCCGCCAGCTTCTTTTCTTAGACGCTGAACTCTCATTAGCTCATTTACTGTGATCCACTGAATGTCACGCGAATGTTAAGCGTTCGGTTATAAGGGGAAAGGCGTGGATTCGTGAGGCCACAGATTCAGAAGCACAAGTTTTCGGGTTATTAATGAATTCCATTGTTCAGTAGACGAAATTGCGATCACTGGAATAAGAAATTTATTGGCCTAACGTTTCGGATTCTCACTCGAACCCATCACGAGAGACAATCACACTCTTATCTGCGGCCGACTCGGATGATGGGTTCGAGTGAGAATCCGAAACTTCAGGCCAATAAACTTCTTGTTCCAGTGATTGCATCTTCGTCTTCTGAACTGCTTTCCGGAACTCGCCTGTTCGCTTCTATCAAATCTCATTGTGGCTACTCGTTATAATTTTAATTTCCAGGCGAATTTGAAACTGGCTGCTGTCCCGCAATTTGCATTTTGAATCACGTCCGATGGGGTTTCACCGTAGGCTCAACTCGCGTGTCTATATAATTTCCCTCTCCCTTTCCCCTCGCCACGCGCACCCGTATATCAACCCAACGGTCCATGTTCTATATACCTATCACGTTTCATCCCTCTGGGTCGTTCTCTACTTGAACAGTCTACCTTAACTTATAAATACGCAATGACCGTACGCAGTTGAATAGGTCACGGAATTCCATGACATCACCAAATCCTGCATGCTTCGCCACCTTTGTCTTGTTCAAACTGAAGTTTCGACAAGGTTTAAGTATATGCGCGGGGCAAGGAAAAACTATGGAGAACTGCCTATAATATTTTTAAAAGCAGATGCTGTTCATTAGAGTTTTTGGTCGGCCCTACGTAGAGAGGGTGACACTCGCTGACCTGTACTGCCCCGAGGAGTCGATGCCGCTGAAATGTCTACACTGGTTCATTGTTCTGCACCCGCCGCATGCTATTTTTTAATAAGATGGAAGCTCATTTTTAAAAGAAATTCGCTCCCGAGAGCAGTCAGATAGTAATAAAGGCTGAAATATTGTTTGATGGAATGCATACACCTGCCAGTAAGGCAGGAGTGTTAACACGCTAGTGAATTTGTTAAGCAACAGTCAGCATTTTCTTGCCCTGCGCATATACATACTCCTCGCCGAAGTTTCTTAAAAACGTCTTCATGGGATCCGTGCAGCCGGCATGTCCGGCCTCCAAAGTCGATAAATTCAGCCAAGTTGCCAACTGCATCACGAAAATCAAAGACCAGTTAGATGTGGGTGGCTGCTTAGGTACAGTCAATCGTTTGCAGAGTCTTAACTGCCCGTAGCAAAGGTTTGGGTCGGGTATACGTAGATGAATGGGGCCGTTTGACAGGATGGCTTGTCATCACAAGTCGCAACCCTCTTTCTTGAGACAGGTCATTCTTTTGAATTCGCAGTCGCGCAGGCTATCACTCGGCCAGAGTGCAAGGAAAGACGTGGACATTTTGAAGTCTGGAGCTCTGAAACGAACTAGATCAATGGGCATGTTGATGCATCTGCCCACTAACATTGTCCTGTGGAATAATCCCCAGATACATAAAAAATTGCTCGTAATCAAACCTTATTCTTCATGAGTATTACGTCTGTCGTTGTTGTTTTCTTATTCCTGATGGAATCTAGCAAGAACTGGAAAGTTCAACTAAAAAACCGTCGTACGTACAACCAGCTGACGAACACAAGCTGGTTGTGAGACGAGATGATGAATTACCATAAGTGGCTGCCCACACCTATGAAATGGGTCACGAGTTTGACTTTGTAGTCACGATGGTAACCGACCACACTGACAACAAAACAGGCTAAGAGTTGATTGAAGCCTAGGCCTCGGATGAGAACTCAGCCAATCGACTTATCGACCTGGCGCCTGCACACAGCCCTGCACAGTCACCTCTACTCATGCGCCATCGATGGATGATTAGATAGAACGTCCTATAAATGTCGCTTTTTCTGCTGTTGCTACGATATCTAACGGTGGACGTCTGCACGGGTTTGGAAGATCAGAACAGTAAACAGACGGTATTTTATTACCGACAAAGACAAGGGAGACTGGAATGGCCATTTCTAACTTATTAGCCGTCGTCAGCCAGTCATGCTCAACCCCGAAGCGTGGAACACCCGAGGCTCGGACTCGCGACCTGTTAGTTAGAAGTCTACGCCTCTAACCACTGGGCCACGAGCCCGTTGCCCTATCGGTTTCGATCGGGAATATACCATGGTAGGTGACGGCTACTAAGCCAGAAATGACCATTCCCGTCTCCCTTGCCTTTGTCGGTAATAAAATACTGCCTATATCATGCGCCACTGTGCAGCTGCTGGTTGGGCTCGAGAGAGAGCTCGTAAGGCACAACGGAACGAGTGAGTTCTGTAAGAACGATCGGTGAGCGCCCCCCTACCATAGTAAACAGACTGTTCCGGTGCTCGACCAGTCCTCTTTGATACCCAATCGTCTGCTCAACCCGGGGCTGGTAAGAAGTCAGCAGGCTGTGAAGACTTTGGATAGTCATTTAGTATGCAGTGGTTGCAGGCTGGTTGAACCTTTCGTTCTTTGTATTCCGGACAAGTACATCGTCTGAGAAGATTGTTTTTACAAATTATGGAAGTGCTGCAGTGTGCTCTCACTGGCAGTAGTAAACATGTTGTCGACAATGGGCTCGACAAGTATTCGATGAATTCCCTCCCTCCATGCATGATTATCTGCGTGGGACTTGATTATTTGGCTATATTCGGTTTTCCTATTTTTTGCAATCGAGCTTGTCTTATTGTTCAATTTGGCAGAATCCACTTGCATCATCGTAGATTTTTGCGACGTCAAAAAGAATTGCACTGCAAATCCATTTTTAGTGGTGCTCAGAAGGCAAACGGCGTCTTAAAAATGGAAATATCTAGCCTTCGTACCTACTGGTAAACCAACGTTTTGTCCATATGCTGTCGATGTTTTGAGAAATCTCAAACCCGTCATTGAACAAAAAAGTCATCACCACATTGTGGACTTTGACGCAGATTTTCTTCAGCATAGGTGACAACAGTTCAGTGGACTGTGGCACTCTTGTATATGCAAAGTTGGCAGGTTCAATGGGCTTGCAGATGACATGAATGTTGCATGAATTGCTCTGGGATGCTATTCACTCGGATGGATTGACATTCACACAGACTGGCCTGCTATGTGGGGCGGTAGTTCTACTCTGAACCCATCTGATGTCCATCTTTTATTCATCTTTCCTCAGACGCGTACCGAATGCAGTAGCCACACCCCTAACTGCCTGCTGAAACTCGGCTCTTCACTTCAATCGGCAGTATCTAATTTTCTCTGTCACCATCACCCGTATGCTTCCGGTGACGAATCTGCTTGGGATATGATTGGTTAAGACACAACCCCTTGAGCCTTATACCGTCACTTTCTCCGTCTAACCAAAATTCACATACTTGAATAGTCACACCCACAAGGGTTCGCAGGCCGCAGCATAAGCCTAAGGACAGGGTTTGATCTCTGGTTGTGACGTGAAAAAGCACAATAACCAAACTCATCTTGAATCAGCGCAACACGCTTACTGACACCCTCATTCTTGCAAGTGCCTTCGGACTGTTCTTAGTGCCCCTGATTTTACCTCTGCATGTGCTTCACTAAATTTCCCTTTGGTTTGGTCGGAGAAAAGAGGGTGGGGGTTAAGCTGAGGGCTAAATACAAAGTAAATCAGTTCTTCAAAGACCACCCGCAAATAACTGTCCCGACCGCCAGAGCACTGTCCATGCACATAAATGGGACTCCGGATTATGCGCCCACAGATGTTCGATGAAAGCTAAAGAAGACGGCCTGGGGGAGGGCGAGAAGACGAAGAATGACGCGGAAATAAAAAAACGGGGGATCGATGAGAAGAGGATGATGAAAAAGAAGATTGACAAGGAGGAGGAGGGCGGGAACATTAGGGTAAGGGCGAAAGATGACTATAAATAGGGTGTAAAACACAATAAGAATAAAGTGAAATGGTCGAATGCAGAGAGGAGAGGCAAAAAATAAAAAATCGACGTTAAAATACCAGGAAAACGGGAATACGCCGGAAGAATATGGGAAAACGGAAGAAGAACAAAGGAGAGGACGCGAACTAACCAAAGGTAAGTAAAGAGGAAATGACAGAAGAAGAAGAAGAAGAAAAACAAAAAGGAGCCAAATGGACCAGGAGGATATACTTCCCCCGTTGGTACCTTCGAAATACGGTGTGCAGGTTCTTGACCGTTCACGGTAGTGATGCCCAAATGCCCTAATTTTATTTATAGAATATGGAGAAACATGAACACAAAACCATTATCTCAGTTTAATGTGTCATCCATATCCGCAATAACGTGGATTACTTTCGAGAAATTTTCAAAACAGAAGGTAGTACCAGTAGCTTTAAAAAGCCTTGACCATATGCAAACAAGCTATCAGAGAAAAGGATATAATTGGGTGATTAGAGCGTATGAAGTGTAAAGGCATGACCGGACATACCGATGAGGGTCGTCAGTAAGCTTGAAATAAAAGTGTACTTGACGGATATTTAGTCAACGCCTCCGCGTTCTTCTAACCAAGGTTTCCATCTGCTGTGTTTAAATCTGTCCCCGGATTTAATATCAACCCCTTCACGTTGATTTTCATCGTGCACTGCCTAGTGTAAAGTTGTACTAATCATGTGGGTCCATATAGGGTTTATATGCATGCAGGAGGCTGACCAATGCAATTAAGCAATAATGTTTCCAAAAGTCCTCAACTAGCTATGCTTGCGCAGGTAACTCAACTTCTTTCCTGTTGAGTAATAAGTTATAGAAGTAAGTAGGTGATCAATCGACAGTTTCGTGGAGTCAGTAGCTGTTTGCATACATTTCGACCGCATTAATTCATTTTTTTAGCATCCAGGAGATCTGTAGACTAATGTTAGCTTCTGTGATCTACTTGACCGTGAGGGCACATGTGCAGTCTCCACAACAACCCAGTAGTTTATTTTCCTCGCCGACTACCTTGCGTCCCAATAACTCAAGTGAAAACCAGTAGTCTGAGGAACCGTCCCAAAGCGGGCTTTTTGCAAATAAGTCCCCATTTTTTATTTCTCCCTTTTCCCACCCTCCTTTAGCAAAGGAAACTGGTTATTGATAATGCAGTTTTTTACTCGCTTGCTTGTGATTATCACTAAAGTCGTCTTCTCACTACGTCAATAAGTTCCTGGAGGAGATGCGGTACATATGTCAAGGAAAGCAAAAGTCATATTTAAATATTGACTGCTCTAGCATACCCCTAGCTCGAGCAGTAACAAAAGCCCGGACGGGAGTTTCGCGACTTCCTTCTGCCACACACGCGAGGGGCTCGGCCCATCATCGGGTCCTACAGAGCTCCCCCAGTGCTTTCTGTTACATACTCCTGAAAACCTAAGAATATTTGTGCAGAAAAGTCAATTCCAGGTTCACCCATTAATTTTGGTAGAAAAATAGTGGTTTCAATTTACATTTTTTCAACCTTATGCTGCATCAGAGAGTCCAGCGATTGATCCGTTAGAAATTCTGTCTCTGTTAAAATAAAGAATATTATCTCCCTTCCCGCCTGACTTGTCCTTTAGGCGTCACGATTTAATGACATCCTCTTCATTCTTTTGCCCACACGCAACACCTCAAAATATTTAATGTTCCTTGCAACGGAATCTGTATTCCATTCAGCTCTCTCTTACACATGTCATTCGGTAGTAAATCCAGGCAACCAAACAAATCTATTTGAATACTCCATCTTTTCCCTAAGCAACTGGTGAGGACAGACAGGTAGGTTAACTGTGACCCATAAATCGACTTCCGTAAACAAAGTTAGGCGACGTTCGTAGTGACCGATTAAACTGAGTGGGAGAAAGAGATGGCTGCAGCAGCTTTCGCTGTTTATCGCAACTTAAACTGCAGCCAGAGTCCTCCCGACGCAGTTCCCGCAGCTGCTCGTTGGGCAAAGCTAGAGTCTACTCCTGCTCATCCTCCGCCTTCAGTGTTGCTACATTTTAATGCAAGCACACTGCACAGTTGTGATAGGGAAATATTGTCACACCAGACTGCGACTACAATCTGTCTACTTGAGTTTAGAGCTTCGAATTCGCCAATACCCCTTAAACAGCTGGGCAAAACAGTGACAACCCACTTAATTTGAACAGTAAACTTCCAGCTATGCACCACTGACTGTACACTTTTGGGTACTCTTGCATGCCAATCATTCGATAATTCATGTAGATAGCATAACCTGTTTTTAGACATGTGGATGGTCTGCTTAAACGAAACTCTTAACCTATAAACTGCATCCACATTCGTTGCAACATGACGGGTAAACAATAATCTTGAAAACATGGGAAATTATGACAACGCGCGAAATCATAAAAGAGAGGGGGAAGATGTTAAATAATGGGAATCGCCTGAATTCGCAGCCATGTAAATTTTACAAAAGATTGCACTGAACGACTCCCATCGAGATGAAAACGACGTACTACTAGCTAACTTTTGGAGAAGTTATGGTATCAGCGAAAACTTGTTAACTTGATAAAGAAAGCAGTGGGCTAAGGCATGCGCTCAGGAACTTTAACCCTAACCCTACTAACCTTAGCATCAACCCTCCTAGCCCTGGTCCTAGGCACAACCCTCCTAACCCTAAACCTTAGCCCAACCCCAACCCCCGCCCTAACCCCCCGGAATTTGGCGTAAGATCATCTCTAATAAGGGGGAGGGCGCCTATTCCTGCGCCCAGTCTTAGTGTGAAAGCACCCACAGGCTTGTCTTCAAGAAGAACGTTCCGCCGATCAATCTTTATGTAACACTTAGAATGCTTTTGTCTCCTCAGTGCCCTTTGGAAAATATAGAAAGCTGGAATCTGCCTCGCAAACCCTGTAGGCATTAAGGTGGTCGGCATACTTAAAGCGCGCGCCCGTAAAGTTAAGAAATAGTGGGATCGTTATTCCTGGCTTATGTACCGTCGGCAGATAAGTGAACTCCAACCTCAGGCCCGTTTGTAATATTTGCTCTTCAAATGGTAGGTACTGTTTTTTGCCTGTATTAATAGAGGTAATCACGGCTTAAACATTCAGGTATGCTGTACACGTCAATTTTTCCTTCCAATGTGATTTAACACAATAACCCAAAGCATTTAAAATCAGAAAGTATTCGAGGTTGGAGAATTCGGTACCATTTCTATTCGTGAGTCTATATTGCCACCGTCTAAAACATTAAAAAAGACGAAATCCGCGAGTACCCAGCCCGGCTTGTCGCAAAAGCTAGTCCTGACGGCATGCTATTGTAGACTGGATGATTTCTCCACGTATACATATGTAAAAAGGTCAGTACATACATTTTAGGTTCACGTTTGAAGTCCATCATCACCTTTAAGTAATTTTGTCGTCGAGGTGAACGTGTCGTCTTTCTTCAGTCAAAAGTTTGTCCTTACTTCTTCATTGCAAGTTACAAGTGTTTCGTCCTTGCTGACTAGCATACTCATACGAACGTCTCACAACGCTCCCAGAACTGTCGTGTTCTATGTGGAATGGCCGGATATGCCCATTCACCTTAATATCGAGTCGGCAAAGCCGCCCTTGGATCGATCTATACTGCTGAGGTTATGACCGCACAATGAGTTTGAGTTTCAGGAAGACTGACAAGGGAAAGCCAGTGCTCAATGCGAACGGACTTTAAATGCCTGTATTGATACGATTTGGATTGCTACATGCAAGAGAGCTATTTTTGCAGCGAGGAGCTATTTTTGCCAATAGAAGCGAACAGGCGAGTTCCAAGAAAGAGTTCAGAAGAAGATGCGATTGCTGGAATAAGAAGTTTGTTGCCCTGACGTCCCGGAACCTTGCTCAGACCCATCATAGGAGACCGTCGCAGAAAAGAGTAGTAGGGAGCACAAGGTGAACAGTCGCCAGGCCACCACACGTCAACTATATTCGACAGTACTCGTGTTCGTCGTTGAGGGTCGTAGTTGATGCGATGATTGATTATCGGCCCGTACCCAAGTCATTAATTATCGTGATTTCATCAGCGTTGGCGATTCTTGGCGTGACGATTATTCGGCAAGTTGGCTCACTGCCACAATGGCTACTGGTCACCCGCAGCCTCCTTGCGTGGCTAGCAATTTTGCCTAGGCAAAATCGAAGCTCAGAATGTGGAGGTGGAAGGTCATCGCGCTTATTACTTGAATGCGGGTCAGAGGAGAAGTTTGCTTACACCACCCAAGTGGTTATCGAGTTCCACTGGGCATCAGGGCTTTGGTTTATTGAGAGAACAACCTGAATTAACTTAGGTCGCTGACGGAATTACAGCTGTTACCTCAGCAAGACGTTTATAATTTGGTGAGAGGGTAGAGAAAACAGCGGTAACCACTGGAAGTCTAGAAATTATGGCCAACTATGCATACAGCCTCTGCGTGTGCGTGCCACGAGGTTACTGGGCCGGGCATCAAGAACATATCTTCGTCAGGTAAGGCGACCCCATACCACCCGCCCCCCCCCCCTTGTGATTTAGGCCGGCGGTCGAATCGGTTATCGGGATGGGTCACTTCTTGGAGCATAGCTTCGTGTTTCGAACCCGAGCTCCGTTGGCAAGAAGTCCAACGCGCTAACCATTGGGTCAGGGACTAATCCTCTGAGTTACGAGCGGGCAAATTAACTATGGTAGTTGGCGCTCGCCGGTAGCATTACCGGACATGCTCATGAAGTTGGGCCTTGGGCTCAGTGGTTACAGCGTTGAACTTCTAGTCAACCTGGGTTTGGGTATGACTAGCCAATGACACCTAGTAGACCAGAAATGGCCACCCCAGTTTCTTTTTTTCGGTTGTCATTCTGCCCATGATACTAGCCGTTGTATGACAGCCTGCGGGGCTCTGGATCCTGCCCCAAGGCACAACGGGAGGGTGTGACGAGGTACCGGAATAACTCCCCTCTGACAATCTAGTCCCGTTTTCATTTACCGAATTGCTTGTTTTAACGTGACGTGAACAGCACCACTGTACAACCCCCGCCTCGCTAGCTTGCTCCGCTATCGTGCTCTGCTGTCGGGTCATTTTATGTTTTGAATATCGATTTCATTCACCAACCGGTTTTATTTACTGCTCTTGGCACTTAGGACTCGTGAGATATCATTCGTTAGTCTGCGAAAGCATTATCCTTTACGCCATGTGTACTTTAACGCGGTCGGTGAGCGTCCCCCCACTACAACTGATGATAGTGCGGCTGACGCGGATGGCAACTACTGCTCCGACCGTTTGGTTCCGAAGTATCGGTTCTCCTGATACTTACTTTGAATACACGATTGCTTTTTGGACGTGTTGAGACTTCGTTGTGGCCGGCCTTCGTCATTGTGAGGCTGACCGTCTTTGTTTGACGCCCTAAGCGTCAAGCCTATCCTCCCTTGTTGCCTCCGCTCGAGGACGTTCTGGCCTTGCCGACTGCAGACAGCTACGACTGACCTTGCAGCACGTAATGCGACTCAGTCGCATCTGGACACATGACCCATGTCCTTTCTCCAACAAACCGATTAAAGTAGAGAGCAACTATATTGATGCTCTTCCTCAGGCACTGCTTGACAGTTCAGCAGCAGAAGAAGAAGATGCGATCGCTGGAGCAGGAACTTTGTCGGCCTGACGTTTCGGATTCTCACTCGAACTTTCCACCAGAGACAGTCGCAGAAAAGGGTAATATGGGGACACAAGGGGCGCAGTATTTATGAAGCACAGTACTCGTGTTCATCGTTCTGGGTCGTAGTTGAAGCGATGATTGATTATCGGTCCGTACCCAAGTCGTTAATTATCGTGATTTCATCAGCGTTGACGAGTCTTGGCGTGACGATTATTCGGCAATTTGACTGACTGCCACAGTGGCTACTGGTCACCCGCAGCCCCCTTGCGTTGCTAGCAATTTTGTCTAGGCGAAATCGAAGCACAAAATGTGGGCGCGGAAGGTCATCGCGCTTATTAATTGAATGCGGGTTAGAGGAACATGAGTGAAGCAGCTCACGGCTCACACGGTTGCCATCCCTTGCGAGATTTTGGCCTCATCAAACTGAAAGACGTGGCCGGGTCCTGTTGAACGAGCCGCGATCTGGGAGTTACCGTCATTACCCCCCCCCCCCCCCCCCCACTGCTGCTGCATGCACGGCCATTCGCCTTCGGAGTATTCTCCCAGTTTCTCTGACATAAGTGCTTCGTCCGCAACTGCATTAGATTCGCTAAACGACTCTAGACGTTTCTTGCCATGGCAGTGGGTCTCTCGGCTTCATGACCTGATGCCGTATGGCTGCCTCCGACCTGTGTGCGACTGCAAATCCGGATGGTGTGAGTAGGCAGCTGACGGTCTCCAAGACCTTCTTCACGTACGGGACCGTTCGCCAAAATTTGGGGCCGCTTTAAACTACCATCATCTATGCGATTGACGATTACGTCAAGGAAGGTTTTCTTATTGTTCCTTTCCTCTGTCGTTAATTGTATGTCGGGAAGACGCGTTGAGATGTTCTTTGGATATCATCACCTGATCCCGTTTGATGTCGACGAAATTTTTTTCCGCATACCAAGTCCAGAATTTCGGTCGGTGGTGTAGGAAGACCAACGACTCCAACCGTTATAGGACCGTCCCAACTATGAGCCTCGAATCGGCAAACCCACTTTGACTGCAGTTTAGCTGCTTGCAGATTGTTTTGTCAAAAGTGACGTGCGTCCTGAGCTTCAGGAGTCTGAGGATTTAGGCCTGTTCGAGGCAATTCTCCGTCCTGTTTTACTTGTTCTGTAGGCGTCATTGGACAGTCTCGACCGCCAGATCCTGGGAACCAGAATAAGAAAGTGAGGTGACATCAAATGATACCATGACTTTCTTTGGGAGGAGATTGGCCATTTTAAGTTTCCCCAAGAACTGCTTTGTCGAGCTGACTGTGGTGCCCAACATTTGAGACATGGAAACAACCACTTTGCCAGTCCATAAGTTCGTCTGCCTTTGAGTGATACAATGGGTCGGAGAGAATCGCCTGTTTGTGCACATTGGAGAGACCATAGAATCGGGCCAAGGCCATTGCTTTCGCTCTCGCCAAACGCCGGCCGGTTGGCGATATCGCACCTGAGTACTCTAAGGCTAGTAATGTCACAGTGATTTCGAGTGTCAGTTTTTTTAAAGGATTGGATTTTCATAGGATATAGAATGGATGTTCCTTTAGCAAGCTCTTGGCTTTATGAGGGTAGCCTGTCCTGTCCAGTGTGACATTTGAACGCCCCTTGTCCGCCGAAACAATGACGAGGTCTTTGTCGGCCTTGAGTTTCCGTAGTACATTACGTTCGACCTTGGGAAACACTTCGCGCGACCTTTGCGCCATGAGGAGGGAGGACACTCGATGTTAAATAAGGTCCTTCGTTTCATCTGCCGCTTCCGTCTGGCTTAGGATTAACTCCACCTCTGCAATCACGTTGACAGGTTTGGCATTAGATGTGTTAAATGAGGTCTCATGTCTCAACGCCTGCATTTTTTCCGCCGTCAGTTCCTTTGGCGACAAGTGGTGTACCGGTTCGTCGTTTAAGGATGACCTTGGACCAGGTAACTTGTGGAACTTGTTCCACAGTGCCGCTTCGCGAACTCATCTATGTTCACGAGTTCGGTCGGCCACTCACTGCTGAATCAGTCTTATATCATTCTTGCCCACGAATGGTGGTAGGCGTGTGGTATTCTGGCAAC